AAATCGAGGTAAAAGCTTGTGAGGTCATTTACCTCAGCCAGGGTTGCCAGGTTTACACAACAAAACCCGCCCAATTGCTACTCAAAACTAGCCCAATCACGTTTCGAGGGAGATCCCCCGGTAAAGATAGAATTCCGGTGGGGTAAAATACACGTTTTTGGCGGGGTTCCCCTGGTAAAATTCGCATTTTAGGGGATAAATATCACGTTATCGGGGTCGCTTAAACCCGCGGACATGAAAAACAACCCGCGTTAACAGTGTTAAAGTAGCCCAATTCCGCGGGTAAACCACGGACTTGGCAACACTGACCTCAGGCTGTTTCCGCACAGGACACGGGTGACCCTTCACTGCAGAATCAACAGGTTTGGAAGGAACATGATCTTTAATAGCATCATGAACTGAAACATCAAATGCAGTACACGTCTTTATAAAGCACTCTGATGTACATAACCAATAAAAAAAAAGATAATAATGAAGTGAAATATCCACCTATGTGGTGGTCAGGGACTTATTATTTACACAGATATTCAGACACGTGTGAGATCCGCTACGCAGAAGCCAAATACAGAGACAGAAGTGAATCTTTAACTCAGAGGTCAGATCCTCCTGTAGCTCCGCCTCATTCCACACTCAGTTTAACACTGTCAACACTATATGTGATTGACCTCACAAACAAAACACTGTTGTGCTCCTAAAATAATCATAGAAATCAAACATAGACATTTCTGATATATTTGTTTGAATTATCCGAATGTCAATTCGAATCAATATTCAAATGGAAATATGTAAAAAAAAAAAAAAAAATTACAATTTGCTTAATGCAGTAAGTTTGTTTCCTCATGCACTTGCATGCAGGGTTGATATACTTTCTCTAAACTAAAAATGACTCTATAGCCTGAAGGACAAAAGAGGACACACTTAAAGGAATAGTTCACCCCAAAATGTATTCACCCTCAGGTCATCCAAGATGTAGCTGAGTTTGATTCAGAACAGATTTGGAGAAATGTAGCATTACATCACTTGCCCAGCAATGGATCACCTGCAGTGAATGGGTGCCGTCAGAATGAGAGTCCAAACAGCTGATAAAAACATCACAATAATCCACAAGTAATCCACACCACTCCATCTGATCAGTTCACGTCTTGTGAACCTAATGTTTGTAAGAAACAAATCCATCAAGACGTTTTTAACTTCAAGTCCATGTCCTCAATCCATATTTGTCTGAATCAAGAGAGAAAAATGCACAGATCAAGCACCATTTACAAGCACAAACAGTACAAAACAGATACAAATATGTTGGTGGATTTTGATGTGAGAAGACAAGAGAGGATGGACTTTTTCACTGGATAATTTATTATTATGCATTACCGACTGGTATTTTGGCCAAAAGCAATGGTTAAAACACTTTAACGATGGATTTGTTTCTTACAAACATGCAGCTTTTCACTTCACAAGATGTTAATTGATGGACTGGAGTCGTGTGGATTACTTGTGGATTATTGTGATGTTTTTATCAGCTGTTTGGACTCTCATTCTGACGGCACCCATTCACTGCAGATGATCCATTGGTGATCAAGTGATGTAATGCTACATTTCTCCAAATCTGTTTTAATGAATAAACAAACTCATCTCTATCTTAGATGGCCTGAGAATGAGTAAATTACATTTTCATTTTTGGGACTATTCATTTAAAGCAAAACTATACTTGGTAGAATTACAGTAGGTTTACATTCAGGATCTACTGTCTGTGAAATAAATAGTTTCAAAAAGCCCTGCAGTTTCCTTCCACAGAAATGGGAACTGAAGTACTACATTTAATAATGTTCTCTAGAGGATTTTTACATGTTTAGTTTGTGTAATCATGCTGAGCTGCCAGAATTCAGAAGCTTCAAAATTCCCTAAAAATCTTGCAAATCTTTTATTAGAATTATAAAATGGGTCTAAATATACCTACTGTGTGTCATATTAAGTATATCTTACAAAATAACACTTATGAAAGACATTTTAAATACGAAAAATGTCAAAACTACATTCCTGTAGATGTTTAATGATTTATAATTCCTGTCCATATGTTCCCAGCTTTATGTTTTGACAGCCATGTTGGTGGTCCTGTTTCACATGGATAGATGGTACAAGGAGCTTGAGAGAGTTTGAGTCAGTGGCAATGAATGAGTATGTTTTCATCACAGGCTGTAACTGGCTTCAGAACGCTCCTTGCAAGCATGCTTGAGAGGTTTCATGTCTTAAAGGAACACTCCACTATTTTTGAAAATAGGCTAATTTTGCTAAAAGTGCTACCGCCAGACCTGGAGATCGGCTGAATGGATTCGAAAATGGTAAAACTCAACTGTTTAACTCTAGGGGAGTTGGAAAATTAGCCTATTTTCAAAAATAGTGGAGTGTTCCTTTAATGGTAAAGTATTTAGATTTCATGGCAAAAAAAAATTCACGTTTTAGGAAAGATGGTGTATCATTCTGGTGTGGCGTTCTTGTGCATGTATTCTTCAAGATCAGCATAAGTGTGTATGTTATATTTCTCTGGAATATTTTCACATGTGAAGCATATCCTAGTTTGTGCACTGTCCTTGTGTACTTCCAATATGTTTAACTGGAAAGGTGATGAAAGAGAATTTCTCCAAGATGCCAGATGGTGAACTGCATTGAACATGCCGTCTCAGCTGTGCGGCTCGTACCTGTTACTCCTCAGGGTGAGATGCACGATCCTGTTGCTCTCTAATTTTCCCACCTGTATCTCTGAATATCGGCTGCTCAAAGGTGCCGGTTTTGTGATATATTTACTATTGTGACCATCAAAGTAGAGTTTTAAAAGTAAAAAAAAAAAACGTTTTAAGATTTTCCAGATTATAGCCAATGATTTCAGAGGCCAAAGATGAGGCAATCATGAATTCACATCGTTTTAACCTACTGATTGGAGGACTTCTGTTTTGATATTGAAGGTTGCAATGTTTAGATGCACTATAAAGTTTTGTTCCACCTTCCAGTGAGTGTTTATGTAAAGGTGAGTGAGTTGATAATCCTACAATAGGGACATACTGGTGATTTGGATTTGTTATGGTCAGCTTGACAGCAGCTACAGTGGTCACGATTTCATGCATAAAGTTAAGTTTCATTTAGCTGCTTTTGGGCATTGTATGCTAATATGTTATCTGGTTTGTCAAACACCAAATATACAGATGTTGTGCAAAAAGGTGTGGTGAGGGATTCATCCAAATGGGTTCAAAACTGATTTAACGGTTTTCTCTATTTGTCGTTAACATTTTATCCTTGTTCATCCCAGAATGCAAAAGACATTAATTCTGTCCCATCTTTATTGGAATGGTGTCTTGCATGTATAAAAATGACTAACTCCACAATGCAAACATAGTAGCAGGTTTCCTATTTGGCACGTAAATAAATCAAGACTTAGACCCATTTAAAATGAACAATTTTAATTATTTTCCCGTAATAAGTCTATTCCACTTTGTTTATAGTTCAACAGCTACTACTTAAAATAAATTTTAAATAAAACACAAAACTTCCTATAACGCCAGACATACAAAATAGTTTAATTTTTTTAATGGAAGTTTGTTTAAAGGGCAAAAATATGCAATTTGGTGTAGATGTTATATCGTTACATCATGATAAATTAAACTTTTTAAAAGGGTTTAATTCCAGTCAATGTTCATCTTGAAATATTAAAGCTGCAGTCCGTAAATTTTGCCTCTGTCGCCATCTCTGTTTGAAAACCTGCAATTGCAGCTGTGCACGGAATTATCTTCCTTGCATGGGTTGTGCTCCAGCACAGATGAATCTAATGTTTTGAGGACGGAGTATGTGTGTGGCAGTCAGTCACCACACCGGTGTGGATATTGTACTTTGCACTCATAGACTCTAGCCTACGTCTTGGAATATATGACTCAAATAAGCATTTTCACCGGATATTGTCATCTGAACAAGTAACAAGTCTGCCACGTTTGTTCTGACCAACTGAGGAAAAAAGCATTACAATAAATCGCGCTACCAATGGTGATTTAATCTAAATTAGCTCATATCACATCAAACCGTGCAATTTATTATTATTGTTATACTTTATTCTCAAACTGTTAATGTTAACAACATCAGCATTGGTGACTATAGTGTGTGTATAAGCGAGTAGATTTCAATTTCTGTACAGTCTAATCTCTAATTGTCATACCACTCGAATTTCATATTAAGAAATTATTTTAACCCAAAAAGCAAATTATGCTCCCTTCTAACTGGTTGTCTTTAAAATACAAATCTTTTGTAATCCCAGGTTATCTGTAATCAGAAGCACATTTAAAACTGGAATATAATTTAATTTCATTCACATGTGTTTCATAAACACATAATCCTTTCTGGATTACAATCCGCCATCAAAATGATACATGTAATTATTCTAGCTGCTGTGAGAAAAGGCTATAAACGATCCGCCACCTGCAGGATCCTAACATGCTATAGCCTAGTAGCCGGGACAACTTCATGTTTACAGACGTGACGTAATGACGCAGCGGCATGCTCGAATTTCCCGCTAAACCCTACCCATACCACTCAAACTAGAAAACATTATTATAAGATAACCGTTGTGAATCGGGCTAAAGTAAGGCGATAGTTTCAAACACTGGTTGGTTATGTACTTGCTCAAATATTGATTTCGGATCATTTTTAACCAAAAAAAAAAAAAAAAAAAAAAAGTTACGGACTGCAGCTTTAAAGTTACGATTATTAAAATCATTAGAGACTTCATAGCATAAACACTCAAAAGCCTTTTACTTGCTTAAAAAAAACAAACAAAAAAAACACTTCCATTAGAGGGCATGTAGAAGATTGTGTACAAATCTTTATCAAGTATTTGATCATAGTAATTTAGAGACCTTAGAAACTCATGTATCAAATGTGTTAAAATGGGATGATATGAAAACCTTCATAGGTTTATGGACCCGATTAGGGAAAAAAACAAAACAAAAAGCAGGGCCAAGAGAAACAGTTCACGGTAAGACAGTTTTATTTCCATCTTCACGAATTGGAAACATTAAATAGAACCTCAGAATGACCAGCGATAAAGATACAATTTGTTTTTGAATGTGACGTTACAAACCAAGTGCCATTTCATTCAACCCGCCCTGACACATTTAAACCAACTCATTTACGAATGCTCCTCAGCCAGTTTCTCTGCCTTCTGGACGACCTCCTCGATGGGGCCCACCATGTAGAAGGCCTGCTCGGGCAAAGCGTCATACTCACCTAGGGAAACAGAAACTCTATGAGCAACATTGAATAAAAACAAATACCATTACCAAGAGTGGACGTAATCAAAACAGCCGAGACAAACAGAAGGCAAACTTGAGACTTACCATCCAGAATGGCCTTGAAGCCCTTGATGGTGTCTTTCAGGGGCACCAGCTTGCCCAAGTGTCCAGTGAAGACCTCAGCGACTTGGAAGGGCTGGGACAGGAACCTCTGGATCTTACGTGCACGAGCCACAGTCAGCTTGTCCTCCTCCGACAACTCATCCATACCCAGAATAGCAATGATATCCTGCAGGGACTTGTAGTCCTATGAGGGTGAGGAGCGAGAACAAGGTCATGGATTGGAATTCAAAAATGGAGCAAAGTGCTCAGACGAAGCCCATATTCGTTGGTGCTCACCTGGAGGATCTTCTGGACGCCACGGGCTATGTCATAATGCTCAGATCCCACAATATTGGGGTCCATGATACGGGAGGTGGAGTCCAGTGGGTCCACAGCGGGGTAGATGCCCAGCTCAGCAATGGCACGGGACAACACAGTGGTTGCATCCAAGTGAGCAAAAGTTGTGGCAGGGGCAGGATCAGTCAAGTCATCAGCAGGCACATAGATGGCCTATGAGAGACAATGACACTGTAGAACATGAAGAAGAGATCCAGGAAGCGCCAGAGTGTGCTGTGCAAACAGAAGGATGTGTACCTGCACAGATGTGATTGAACCCTTCTTGGTTGTGGTGATTCTTTCCTGCATGGTACCCATGTCAGTGGCCAGAGTTGGCTGATAACCCACAGCAGAGGGGATACGGCCCAGCAGGGCAGACACCTATGAGAACAAAAGCCAGTCAATAAAACGCTCAATTTAGGACAAAAAAAAAAAAACA